TTGAAAATTTTTGTAGAAGCGTAATTTAAATAAAACAATGGACGGTGGCAATTACGTGAAATGTCAAACGCTTTTGACAGATGATGTTCAATTACGTTTAATAAGATGTTTTAAGGGGAATATTATTTAATTATAATAAATTTGTAGTAAGTAGTTTTGTTTGTAGTTTTATTTATATACAAAAACTTTAGTAAACGGGCCGCAAGTGTTACTAGAGACTCAAAATATCAACTTTTTTGAAATGTTAACATGAAAATGCACATTTTGGCATATTACGGTGCTCGGATAGATTTTATTTGTATAATTATATACTCATTGGTATTTATAAAACATTTTCTAAGTTATATTATTTTTTATTTATGTTATTTAAATTCAAAACCTAAATTTGGTATCGATCAACGGGACATTTTGTCGAATAACATTTTCCCAGTTATAATTTACCAGAATTTATCGCAGAATAGATATTAATATATGAAGGTCCGGGATTAAAAAGGTCCACCGCCGATGTGTCAAAAATCAGTAAAGTTAAGCATTGTTTAACAAGGAATTGAAAAGTAAAGAGAAAAAGATGTATAACTAGCTATAACCTTGATTCTTATGACTTTGCTATCTGGAGATAAACTGTAATCTTTGAAAATCCATAATAAAAGTATTTTCTTCCGTTGGTAGTTTTTGGGCATTAGTTAAAAGTGTAATTATTTTGTAAAACACTTTTAAAATTAAAACAAGACATTAAACCTGTTTGCCACCTGGCCGTTCCAAGTTACCCTGTATATGAAGTAAAAAGGTCTAGATAACGATTTTTTGAAAAACAGCAAAAAAGCACATTTCTACAATGATGAAGTAGCTGGCAGTTTTACTGAACGTAGCCAGATAATTTTTCGTTTGAAATGTGTTATTTGTTGTGATATAATTGATTTGCTTTTCATAATATAGTTTATATTTGCTCAAAGTCAAATTCGACCTTTGTGCCTCGCCCTGCTCTACATATATACTTTTTATTAAATTTACTTAAATTCATCGAATGTCACTTGAAACTTTTAAAAAAGCAGGTGAAAGAATTAAGTATTTATTCATTTTCTATCTCTCCTCTCTCCTCGCAGTAATTTGAAAATTTTGTATAAGTTCAGTTGTATTATTTACAATTATACGCAAAATCTTGAATCAAACAAGAATCTGAAAAACTTGAAACGTAATCAATAAGTCGAAAGACCAAAAATAACTTGGATTGGATTATACCATATTTTCTATAGAAAGTGTATAAAACTTCCAGTTTGATTGTATTGATAAATTATAGACAAACTAATAGGGTTTATAACATTCAAACAACACATCCTTATACACTTAAAGTATTAAATTTTTTGATTCTCTAGAAATTGTTTAGAATATACCTTACTTAGCGAAACAACGTTTGCCGGGTCAGCTAGTATATATATATATATATATATATATATATATATATATATATATATATATATATATATATATATATATGAGTGAGTTCTTGAGGGCGATACATCAAACAAAGAAAAGCCAAAGATTTATAAAATAATCTTTATTTCCAAACGTTTCGACATTCAATTTAATGTCATCATCAGTGGATCTAAAAACAGTATGAAAATTAGCATATCTAGGTAATTAAAATATATGTGGATTGGTAAAGTAACTATACAATAAGAGAAAAATTAACAAAGTGCTTAACTTGTCGGTACATCAAAGGGAATTGTTCGTTCATGTTTGAACTCGTATGTGCAGTGTGGACGCTACCACGAATGTAGACAAACATTTTTCTTTTTTAAGCATATCTCTTATGAAATTATCTTGAACTAGAATTAAAATTAAAATTCGAATTATTTTTGATCAAAAAAAAATGTAAAAAAAATAAATTTTAAAATAAAAAAACCCTTTTTCCCAAATGCAATTGTTTCGTACGATGTCAAAACAAGCAAAAAGTTTTTTGAATCATTCAAATCGGATGCTCAGTTCTCTCAAAATCTAGCATTTTTTGCACATATCTCCAAAACGGCTCCATCTGTCTTTGCCAAAAACTAATCACCACTTCTCCTCATCATTACAAATTCAATGCTTTTTAGATCATTCAAGTCGGATGCTCCGTTCTTTCAAAAACCCGATTTCTATTTGGGGAGATGTGCTGATTAGTTTTTGGCAAAGGCAGCTCCAGTCGTTTCGGAGCAAAGAGTGCAGAAAATAGAAATCGAGTTTTTGAGAGAAGCGACCATCCGATTTGAATGATTCAAAAAACATTCAATTCGTAATGAAGGGGAGAAGTGGTGATAAGTATTTGGCATAAGCAGGTTCAAGCGATTTGAATGATTCAAAAAACTTTCCGCTTGTGTTGACGAAACGATTGTTTTTGAAAAAGATTTTTTTTTCGGTTGAAAATTTTTTTAAGTACCAAAAAAATGATATTTTTGATTATCGAAAATAATTCGGATTATCAACAGGGGCGTAACCACCGCCGTATCAGCCGTATCAAAAATACGAGGCTCCCGAGCCAAGGGGGCCCCCAACGGGCGCAAGCAGAAAGCAAAACTACAATTTTTCAAAAAATTTAATAATTTTAACGTAGTTTGCATTTCCTTTTTTTATCGAGAGGTATTAAACTTCAATTTGTAAGCTAACGCTTTAAGAGGATTTATTTCTGCTGCAATATTTCTGCAAGCTCTTGCAGTCAATTCAATTAGTAAAGCTGTTCCACATTTGATAAGTTAACAAATCTATAAAACTAATTCAGATTATATATTCTTCATCAAATATTGGAATTTGAAATTTTTATATTCATATTTATATCGTTGTTTGTTTGTTGTTTGACGCGTCAGTTTAATAGTTAGATTTTGATAAAAATGATCAACTAAATCATTTTCAGATTTCTTTCTTCACTGTTCAAAAATATAAGTTTCTATTCTGAAACTTTACAACACGCCAGTAATGACTTACAAAAAACTAGTATTTTATTAAATAATCTTTTGAATAGACTGTGCGAATTAAGATATGAAGATTTATTGAAATAGTTTGTTGAAGAAGTACAAATAATTTGCAAAAAAGAAGGATTGCAATAACTATTTTAAAGAACAAAATACAAAAGATAATGAAGCGTCATTATCATAAGATGAGAGAATTTTAGACGCGAAATCTTATTTTAATGTATAATATTGCTGTTTGGATATATTAATTTCACAAACCAAACAAAGATTTGAAAACCTTTGCGACTTAAGTAGTAACATTTGTCTTTTTGAAATTGAGAATTAATAAACGTTTCCGGAAAACTTTTGACTGAATTACTGTAAAGAAATATTGCAAAATATCTCATATGATCATGGCCAATTGATAGTTCTAGAAATAAGTTTGAATACAGAAATCTAAGAAATTTATTTCATTAAGGTACAATGATGGATGCAATGGGCTTGCATCCAGTTTTCCCAACGAAATAACAGTATACATTTTTTCTTGTCCCTTAATTACAACAATTACAATAAATTAAATTAAAACTAATTGAAAATTACGTAAATACTTTAGAACATATATGTCTACTAGACCTGTATGTTTCTAGAGACAGAAACTTTATAAAATTTAAGGATCACTAAATAAGTAAGTTTTTCAAAAAAACCTAAGGAGAGTCAAAATATATCTGAAATCATTTGTGAAAAATTCAGAAAATTAGAGAAAATCAGATAGATAAATAATCAGGATGATAAATAAATATTCTTTTAATATTATGTATTTCTATATTTTGTGAAAAAAAATTTTTCTTCTTGAGGGGCCCCCTCAACAAATTTTGATACGGGGCCCCGCCAAAGCACGCTACGCCCCTGATTATCAAAATTTTAATTTGGTACGGGAAGTTGCAGCAATTTGAATCCACCAGTTGAAATCTGTTTAGGATTTTGCTCAAAAAATTTTGCTCTATTCTACTAATTGATCAGTATAAATTGGCATTAATGGATCAAAAATTGTAATTTATTTTGTTTGAAATATTACAAATGAGTACTGTTTAATAAGAAAGATGCAATTTAATAAAATTTGTAAAAATATCTGTAAATCATACACAAAATATAAAGAAAATATTTATATAAATTTAATCATAGTACTAAATATTTGAACAGTAGTAATAAAATTTACAATGCTAATAAAGTAAAGTAATTCATAGATATTTCACACGCAGGGTTAGTTTCTGCTTGTTAACTTCCCGTAGGGTAAGTTATTGTAATGGGCCGAAAATCGGAATTGAAAATTTTTACATTTCTCCACGTTTTGAAGGTTTCTGAACATTTTACTGGCATACCTCAGAAAAAATGGATGTGTGTATGTGTGTGTGTATGTATGTGTGGATACAAATTTCCAGTCACGTTTTAGGGCGCAGGAATCAACCGATTTGAATGGTTCAAAAAACATTCGATTCCTATTGATAGGGAAAAGAGCTGATTAGTTTTTGGCAAAGGCAGGTCCAGCCGTTTCGGAGATACGGAGCAAAGAGTGCAGAAAATAGAAATCGAATTTTTGTGCGAACGGAGTATCCGATTTGAATGATCTAAAAAACATTCAATTAGTAATGATTGGGAGAAGTGTTTATTAGTTTTTGGCAAAGGCAGGCCCAGCCATTTCGAAGATACGGAGCTAAATATGTGAAAAATGGCAGTTTTTGAGAGAACGAAGCGTCCGATTTGAATGATTCAAAGAACTTTCTGCTTGTCTTAACAAAATAATTGATTTTGGAAAAAAAAAATTTTGTCCTTTTTTTTGTCACCGAAAATAATTCAGATTTTATTTTTAATTCTGACTATAGTTCTAATACACTTTAAACAAATAATTTCAACTCTTCAATTCAGTTTATATAATTCTTATAAATATTAGACAATTTTACAATATTTATAATAATCTATTTGAAAACATTCAGTATTCCTCGAACATTTCGTTATGGTACGGGAAGTTCCAGCAATTTGCCTTAAGGCACGATGCCACCCACCCCACTAGTTAATATTTTATTGATCTCCATCACGTTTTCCACTATGAACATTCAACTTGTGTCTCTTCAAGTTGCTCGATTGTGAAAATTTCTTATTGCATGTATCACATTTGAAAGGGCGTTCTCCTGTATGAATAATCATGTGCCTTTTCAAGTAACGCGATTGGGAGAATGTTTTACTGCATATTTCACATTTGAAGCGACACTCTTTACTGTGAGTAACCATGTGTGATCTCAGATTACCTTTTTGTGTGAATGCCTGATTGCATATTTCACACTTGAAAGGGCGTTCTCCTGTATGAATACGCATATGTCTTGTCAAAGTGTGTTTTTCTTTGAACGTCTTATGACCGATTTTGCATTCAATAGGGCGTTCTGTGCTATGAGTAATCATGTGAAGTTGCAATTGTGTTGAATATTTCATCAAAAAATCCGATTCGCTAATTTTATGTTTTCTCGACGTTTCAAGCCATTCTAAATCGAATGAGACCAACATTTGGAAAAAGTATGTGTGTGTGTGTGTGTGTGAACAGATTTTTTGCCGTAAATCGACGCTTTCTCGAAAACGGCTGAACCGATTTCAAAAATTTAAAAGCCCTTCGATGTATCTCGATGAGGACTATCGTTTTGTGCGGCGATCGGCCAGGCCGTTTCTTTGTAAATTGCAAAAAAGTGAAAAAAAATTCGTCCACGTTTTAGCCCGCAATTTTGAATCGATTCTGAAAATTCAAAAACCATTCGATAGATGTTGGTAGGGAATCGTGCTGATTAGTTTTTGGTAAAGATCGGCCGGGCCGTTTTCTTGTAATAAGGTTTTTTAAAAAAAAATTTCGACGATTTTTATGATTTTTTTTCTGACGGTAGATACCATAGTCTTCTAGATCATACTAAAATATTACGGCCCTACGACAACTCGTTTAGCTTTAAAAGTTCGTCAAAGTTTGCAAAAATTGGTATCGTTTTTTGGCATTTGTCAAAATTAGACTTTTGATCGACGTTTTCTCAAAAACGCCTGAACCGATTTTAGAAATTTAAAAGCCATTTGATGTATTTTGGTGAGGACTATCGTTTGTCAGTTTTGTGCGACGATCTGCCCAGCCGTTTCTTTGCAATTTGAAAAAAAGTGTTAAACTTCCACATTTAAGCTCATCATACCCAACCGATTTTAAAAAATAAAAAACTGTTCGAAAGATATTAGTTGGGAATGGTACTGATTAATTTTAGGTGAAAAACTACCGAGCCGTTTTCTTGTAATGAACTGTTGAAAAAAAAATTAAGCCGTTTTTCATGGAACTTTTTTTGGCGATATACATCATGGTCTTACAGAACTAACTGTAATATTACGGCCTTACGACAAGTAGTTTAATTTTAAAAATTCGTCAAACTTTGCTAAAATTATTATCGTCTTTTTTTAAGTAGGATTGATGAAGTATATTATTTACACTTTTTTTTGATTAAGTCGATTATTTACACATATCGGGAAGTTCAGCCTCAAGGCTAAATACCAAACCAACTAGTTCTTTTTTTATGTTAAAATGTGCATTAATGCATTAATTTATGTTATGTTTATTATAAGATATTGCTGTTATTGAGAAATTTTGTAAATTTGATGACTTTAAATAATTTTGCTCTTTCCCGCCACTTTAAATAATAAATCTGACGTTTCGCGGTACATCCTCGAACAAAAAGATTCAAGCCCTCACTGCTTTGATGAGGCTTTTGTTTGGATTTATTCGCGTTCGTTCGTGTTCGTGTTCGTTCTTCTTTGTATTTTCTTGTTCGACATGTTCGTTCGTTAGGTGTGGCGCACCTTTACGCACACTCTCGCACACTAAACTCACGCATCACGCTATCCCTTCCAATGCTAATTGAAAGTGGAGGGGACACAGCCGGCGTGCACAAAGTCTCCGAATTAAATTCAGAAGCCAAAACACCGCGAAACAGATAACACGTGTGTAGTAAAATAAATAAAAATAATAGTAAAATAATTAAATAGCTAGTTAAAGTGGTGGTTAATACATCTAATATTTTTATACCCTTTGTGTGGTGGTTGGTGTGTGGTTACAAAAATAAAACTAACCTCAAAAAATGCCTAAGGATACTTGCAGGAATAAATTCAAAAAAGACTCGTGCGTAAAATCAGTGTGCACTTTAAAGTGAAATAAATAATAACACTAAACAACCCTTACAAAGTGACTTTTATCATTGTGACTATTATCATGGCGGTGCCCTTCTATGTCCCAAATAACGAAAGTGGTTCAACCACGACCACCAATCGTGAAAATAATCACAATCAAAACCACCACCATCAATCAAGGACAAATAGTGCTAATAATTCTGTTGGTGGTGCAGGGGTTGCACCACAAGTTGGTGGTGCTAACCACCAGGATCCACTTTTGGGTGCTTTGGCCGAGGCTTTGTACCAGGTTTTGTTGGCCAGGCAGAATCATGGTAGTAGATTTTTTGGTGGTTCTTTTAGTGATCGAAGTAGATTTTTTGGTGGTGACCGATTTGTAGGAATGCATCAACCACCAGATGATGACCAATTTTTAGAAATGTATCAAACACCAGATGATGGTAGATTTTTTGGTGGTGACCGATTTTTAGGAGTGTATCAACCACCAGATGATGATAGGTTTTCTCTGGTGGTACTTTTTTTAGTGATCAAAGTAGGTTTTTTGATGGTACTTTTATCTTTGATGGTACTTTTACCTTTGATGATACTTTTACCTTTGGTGGTACTTTTACCTTTGATGATACTTTTACCTTTGGTGGTGCTTTTATTTTTGGTGGTTTGCAAGATTTGGTGGTTCCTTTCAGGTTTTTTTGGAACCCTTATTTAGTGCAAAGTTTTGATGAGAATAATAATGAGATTTTTACTGATTGTGAGAGATTTTTAGTAGAAAGCATGGAGTTTGGGGACGATTTAGACTTAGAGAGTATTAGTGATAGTGATGATGAAAATCACAATGATAGCTGTTAACTAAATTTGCCTAATTTTTTTGTACAAAATTTAAACCAAAACTTCTACTTTTAATTTTTTTAATTTCTGCAGAATTTGATTTTTGATCACATTTAGTGATAGTGATAAAAATCACTATTTTTGACAAAATTGTTAATTTTAGTGATAGTGACAATTTGAAAATTTAATTATTCTTATTTTACAAAATTTCTGTAGAATTTAAAAAGCATTGTGATAGTGATGAAAATCACAATTTTTGACAAAATTAATTTGTGTAAGTTATAGATACAATTGGCTTGTCAGTAGAGTCCATTTTAATTTTAATTTCTAGAATTAGAAAGCAGAATTGCTCGTCAGTAGAGGTTCTTTTTCTATTTTAATTTCTAGATTTATTCTGCTTATCAGTAGAATTCTTTTTCTTGATTTTAATAATTAGATTCAGTTTGCTCGTCAGTAGAGTCCTTTCTTGTGAAAATCCTAAATTTATTTTACTCGTTAATAGAGTCCTTTTTTGTGAAAATTCTAAATTTATTTTACTCGTTAGTAGAGTCCTTTTTTTGTAAATTAGAGATTTAAGTTGCTAGTCAGTAGAGTCCTTTTTGTGTAAATTCTAAATTTATTTTGCTCGTTAATAGAGTCCTTTCTTGTGAAAATCCTAAATTTATTTTACTCGTCAGTAGAGTTCTTTTTTGTGAAAATTCTAAATTTATTTTACTCGTTAGTAGAGTCCTTTTTTTGTAAATTAGAGATTTAAGTTGCTAGTCAGTAGAGTTCTTTCTTGTGTAAATTCTAAATTTATTTTGCTCGTTAATAGAGTCCTTTCTTGTGAAAATCCTAAATTTATTTTACTCGTTAATAGAGTCCTTTTTTGTGAAAATTCTAAATTTATTTTACTCGTTAGTAGAGTCCTTTTTTTGTAAATTAGAGATTTAAGTTGCTAGTCAGTAGAGTCCTTTTTGTGTAAATTCTAAATTTATTTTGCTCGTTAATAGAGTCCTTTCTTGTGAAAATCCTAAATTTATTTTACTCGTTAATAGAGTCCTTTTTTGTGAAAATTCTAAATTTATTTTACTCGTTAGTAGAGTCCTTTTTTTGTAAATTAGAGATTTAAGTTGCTAGTCAGTAGAGTCCTTTTTGTGTAAATTCTAAATTTATTTACTCGTTAGTATAGCCCATATCAATAACAACATTGCCTTTGGCAGAATTACTGGGTGTTTTGGGTCGTAGGGTATGTCGGCATTCTCCAATCTCCCACCCACTCGAAGTAAGTCTTCAGCATGCACGAAAGGATTTAAAGCTTTCAGCTTACCAAGAGATGCATTGGATTGCTTACCTAACTTCAACTGTGTTTAATTCAGCGACCGAAAGTAAACCTCTTTGTTTGAGACGAATGATGTTGATCCATCGGATGCAGAACGCCACCACCCTAACTAGTTTGCTGAACCGAGAACACTTAGCCACAAGATCTTCTACTAATTCATTCCTAGTGTTGCCGACAGTTGTTGCTAGCAGTTTCCGTTCTGGAATAGCTTCCTTAACATCATCAGCAAACCTGTTAGGCCAATTACTAGAATCTTGTAGCAGACAAGCAGGCCCGTGCCACCATAGATTGCAGTCTGCTAACTCTACTGGCGTCTTCACACCCCTAGATACAATGTCTGCAGCATTTTCTTTACTACAGACGTGTCTCCAAGCAATGCCTGGCGTAAGATCAAGAATTTCCGCCACTCTATTGCTAACAAACATTTTCAATAGAGACGGATCTGTCTTTAACCACGCCAAGACAATGCTTGAGTCACACCATAGAAACGACTCCGAAATTGGGATTTTTGTGATCGTCATCATCTGCCTAAATAACTTTGCTAAGAGCAAAGCCGCAGATAATTCTAGCCGAGGCAACGTCACATTTTTTAATGGGGCTACTTTCGATTTTGAACAAAGTAACCTTGATGACAAAGTGCCATCTGCGTATGTTGCCCGTAGATAAATGCAGGCACCATATGCATACAATGAAGCGTCTGAGAATCCGTGACATTGAATAGTCACCGGAATCGACTTAAAAATGTTTCGAGGAATACTGAGATTCTCTAGATCAGAGAGATGAACCTCAAAAAGATTCCACCTATCTTGTAACTCTCGTGACAAAGTCTCATCCCAACCAAGGTTTTGCCTCCACAACTCCTGCATTATCAACTTTGCAGTTACAGATATTGGAGATATGAGCCCAATTGGGTCATAAATCTGTGCAATTGTTGATAATACGGATCGTTTTGTGTCAACACCCTGTCTAATGTCTGCTTCTGAAACCTTAATATGTGCTATTTTAAAAATATCCTGTGAAGGATTCCACGCAAGCCCTAAGGTTTTAACAGTATCTGCTTCAGAAAACAAGGCCATAGCAGAGCTTTGACTTTCCTTTGGGATAGTTTGTAAAACTTCACGACAGTTACTTGACCATTTATGTAAGGAGAACCCCCCTTCATCTAACAACTGTACAACTTCCCTTTGAATCTTAACCAACTCATCCGCAGTATCAGCACCTGTGATGATATCATCAACATAGCAGTCCGTATCTAACACTTGTGCTGCCTGTGAAAATGTTGACGCATAATTTTGCGCCAGCATCTTCAAACAGCGCATTGCCAGGTACGGAGCACTAGCTGTGCCATATGTTACCGTGGTGAGTTTGAAGATCTTCAAGGTTTCCTGGGGCGACTCCCTCCATAAGATCAACTGATATAACTGATCTGTATCCTTAACCTTTATTTGGCGATACATTTTCACAATGTCTGCCACAAAAACAAACTGATGGCACCTAAATCGAACCAAGATAGAAAACAAATCCTGCTGCAATTTAGGGCCGGTGTGAAGAATATTATTCAACGAGACACCAGAGGAAGATTTCGCCGAAGCATCAAAAACTACTCGAATCTTATTGAAGTTATTATCCTTCACAACAGGGTGATGCGACAAGAAATATAAATTATTTTGAATCACTTCCTCCTGAGTAAGTGAGATCTGCTCAGCGTGTCCTAGTTCAACGTATTCATTCACAAACCGTGAATATGCTGCAAACAAGATACTATCCTTAGAAAAACGCCTCTCTAAGTTCAAAAACCTGTGTTTTGCACCTAAATACGATGATCCTAGTTTATCCATTTTGCCATCTACAAAAAGGAGAGCTACTTCAAACTGACCATTTTCAAGCCGTGAAACATTAAGAGAGAAAATGATCCTCACATAACTTGTCAGACCCGGTCATTGTATAGTTAGAGGATACCTCCTCCAACTGCCAAAACCTGGTCAGACTGTTATGCAGATCTTCATTAGAAATAAATCCAACATGCACATTTTCCTGAGTTTTTGAAGTATATACCCCTGAGATCAGCCAACCAAAGCAGCTCTTTCTTAGAATAGGTAGGTGGTTCCCTAAACGAATGCAACCTTGCTGTAGCACTTCGAAATATAACTCCACCCCTATCAACATGTCAACTGACCCTGGAACATTAAACATTGGGTCCGCTAAATCAACATGATCTGGAATCTTCCAGTTATCAAAATCTATAAACGCAGAAGGCAGAGACTGGGTGATCCTGTCAACAGCTACAAAATTCATAGTACGAGCAAAGGACCCTAATCTAGATCTTATTGTCAACTTAACAGCCTTGTCACACAAAACAGTCTGCCCCTGTAACATGCTCAATTTATGCAGAGATGAATTAACCGGGCATTTCAATTTTGCTAACAACGAGGAAGTTATTAAGTTGATTTGTGACCCACTGTCCAACAACGCTCGCACCTTATGTTGGGTTCCGTCGGTGTCCATAACAATGAGAGAAACCGTAGATAATAATGTTTGCATCCCCGTATTATTTGCCATGCATACTGTGCTACTTGAAGTGCTGGGCATTGGCTCCGGTTCTTCATGTAGCAAAGTATTATGCGACTCTTTGCACTTCGAACAATCATATCTAAATTTACATTTAGCCACATTATGTCGAGAAGCCAAACAACGAGAGCAAATCGAATTTTTATTAATAAAAAACTTACGTGCCTTTACATCCAGTGCCTTAAAAGTAGAGCATTTATACAGCACATGGTCCTCATTCTTGCAATAACTACACAGTTGTGTAGGTTTCTTAACAATTGTATGAACAGACTTGGTGGTTGGTTTGCTGTCTGAGCTGCACGAATTCTCCAAGGCCGTTACCCGGAGTTCAAGAAATGTGAAGAACTCCACTAAAGAAGGTAACTGCCCTGACGCCCGAGACAGATTCCAAGCCACTTTTGTCCCACTGTCAAGCTTCCTACACAACATATGTAATAAGATAATGTCCCAATGTGCTGCAGGCTCAAAGAAGGCTTTCAATGACTGAATTTGTTGTCTTGCACTATTTAAAAGAGCTCTCAACCTCTCATGACTGCCCTTTTGTATTACAGGTATGCTATCAATGCTCTGCAAATGAGCATTGACAATTAAAAATTGATTATTGTAAGTTTTAATTACAAGATCATATGCTACTGCATAATTTTCATTCGTGACACTTATACTAGATATTAATTCAGAAGCTGATAATGTGAGAGCACCTTTTAAATAGTGCAATTTCTGGACAGGCGCTAATTTTGAATTGTTATGTATCAGTGAATTAAAAATATCAATAAAGGCCGTCCACTCACTGTACTCCCCATTAAATTTTGGTAACACAATATCTGGCAATTTCACATCTATCACGCTACTTTTTAATTTTTCGGATTTTTGATGGGAGTCAATAATTGATTCTATCTCAGCCATCATATCAAAGTATAATTCAGAGTATTTAAGGTACTCATCAGTGTACACACCTGGAGACATGCTTTCAAGCTGCACGTACACCTCATCCCAGCTGTGGATACGTTCAACAAGCCTCTGCTTCCGAACAGAGACAGCCTTTACATTGTCGCCCTCCTGGAATCCAGTTACATATTTGTTGATGGCATCGAATGAAGCCTTAATCATTTTATACGTGCCTTCCAATGAATCCGCATCCGCCATTATACCAGCCAGTTATACTATACTAAATTAATATTATTACAACACGTGCTACACAAAGTACAAGAACAATAAAGAAATCTTAACACTTATTACTAAGTCAATTAATACAGGAACAAGGTTGATAAACACTTATGTGTAATGTGTAACAATAGTGAGGTTACAATGCATAGAATTTTGAATGACTCACGACCCCCGTGTTTTGAATTACACGAGTCAGCGTTGATCCTAATTTTTGTCTTCCACGTGGGATCCTAGTAACACGATATCCTCCCCCACTTGTGTAGAAGCTTCTCGATTATCACTGAGATGAATGATTGTATGAATACCTTTCTTGCGCTGCGAGCTGAATCCTAACCTCAAAATTTGGAACTCCCAAATCTTTGAGTGACGACGATGATTTCAGCGTCCGAACTGCTAGCTTGATTAAGGATATTCTTGTTGCTCTGCTTTTTGTTTACGAACGACATAGACAACTTCAATGCCGCATGCGTAAACAAAACAATACACGCCGGTAATAGTATTTGTATATAAAAAACTTTTCTCACCACAGTGTATAATAATTCTCAAAAATAAAGCTTGCACTGGTAACTATCCGGTTCGAAGGACCAAATTATGGTATAAAGAAACACTGGATGGATTATGAGTAAATATATTTTATACGATGTTTACAGTTCAGCGGTATATGTACAAGAGAGCGATTAATGTATATACAAGTATTACGAGGAAGTCATGTCAAAACGTGAATATTGCGTCTTGCATGACATGTCGCCAACATAACAATAACGAGTCGTTCTGACAGTACGAACGACGTGCGCGAAGTTTAAATACACAGTTAGAACTATGAATAATTCTGTCCAATCGTTAGGGTTTGAAGGCACAAGGTAATAATTTGGAAAAGATAGTCGAAGAGTTCGTAGAGGAAAAAGTGGGAATAAAGGTCAGAATTATTAGAGCATTCAAGTTTGGCATAGAGAGAGAGATGATTGTAGCCACAATCGGCAGCTGGGAAGAAAAGGTGGAAATTATGAGAAAAAAGAGTCGCCTTGGTGGGTCGACAGTATTTATAGATAATGACTTAACGCGAGAGGAAAGACAGGTGCAGAAGCAACTGATAGAGCGAGCGATGAAGGAAAGGCAGGCGGGTAATACTGTCAAAGTGGGCTACAGAAAACTATGTAGGAATGGCAAATGGTATACGTGGGAAGATCTGAAGAGAAAAGAGAAGGAAAATGGAAGGGAAGAAATTTTTTCACATTAGGGCAGCCGGCGGAATTGGGGGGTGTGAAGTAATATTCTGGAATGTTGCGGGTGCGGTTAATAAACATAAGGACTTCTGGGATTTTGTGGGTAGATATGATATAATAGGACTAACAGAGACATGGGTTGAGAAAAAAACATGGACTAAAATTCAAACATACTTGCCAAAGGGGTATAAGTGGGGTTGCCAGTATGCTACGAGAGAAAAGACAAAGGGTAGAGCAAGTGGAGGAATCATCACCGGTGTAAGAGAAGAAATAGCCGAGGAAGAAGATGCGACAGCAGAATTAGACGGTGCGATGGAAAGAATAGTAAAGATCGCAGGTAGTAAATGGAGTATATGGACAATCTATTGCAAAGATAAGATAAAAGAGATAATGAAGAAGATAGCAGAGAAATTGGATGGGCGCTTAGGAATAAAAGCTATTATAGGAGGAGACCTCAATGCAAGAACTGGAGCAAAGGGAAGTTTTGTGGATGATGTAGAAAGAAGGCCGCGAGAACCAAGGGACAAAACAATAATTGTAGCAGGAGAGCAATTGTTAGAAATAACAGGAGAGCAAGGCTGGTACATACTAAACGGAAACATCGAGGGAGATGAGAAAGGAAAATATACCTACATTTCAAGCATCGGGCAGTCAGTAATAGATTACATTATAATAAACTCGGAAGGCATAAATGGGATCGAGACGTTTGAAGTGATAGACAGAGTGGAGTCAGATCACATGCCTGTGAGTTGCAAACTCATACACAACTTTGAAAGGAAAATGCAAAGGCAAGAGGACGAACGAGAAATTATTAAATGGGACGAAGAAAGCAAAGAAATATTTCAAATCGCAACAGGCAGAAAGGTTTACACAGAGCAGAATGTAGAGGAAAGTTGGAAAGAAATTAAAAACGCAATACACACATGTATGGTGAGGAAGAAAACGAAGATAAAAGGAAAAAGACTGGGTTATAGGAGATGGTGGGATAGAGAGTGTGGTAGAAAAAAGAGATGGGTGAAAGCTTTATTGAAAAATTGGACGTTAGGTAAAATGTCGAAAGAAAAGTATCTGACAGCAAGGAAAGAGTTCAAGGCTCTCTGTAAAGGAAAAGAAAAAAGCAAAGCAGACGAAGTAATGGAGGAAATAAGACAAGCTAAAACAGAAAAGGAAATTTGGGCATTTATAAACAGAGGAAGGAAAATAAGGGTACAACTAAGTGAGAAAATTACGACAAGAGAATGGAAAGAGCACTTTATGAGGCTGCTAAAAGGGCAGGATACCCGTTTAGTAGAGAAATGGAAGGATGAAAATGTGAAGCAAGTAGAAGATGAAGAACTTACTGACGCGGATATTAGACAACACATAAAAAAGTTAAAGAAAGGTAAAGCGGCGGGGATTGATGGAATTCCAAATGAAGCGTGGATATTTATGACGGGTCGAACAGAACAGCAGATATGTGAGCTGGTTAAAAAGGTCTGGAATGGCGAGGGAATACCAGAAGATTGGAAAGAAGCATTGATAATGCCACTTTATAAAAAAGGAGATAGAGAGCAGGTCAGTAATTACCGAGGAATAAGCCTATTGTATACCGGATACAAAATTTATGCTTCAATATTGAACGAAAAGATAGTTAAAGATTTAGAGGACAACAAGAGTCTACCGGATACGCAAGCAGGCTTCAGGAAAGGTAGAAGCACTATAGACAACATCTATATTCTAAATCACGTAGTAGAGAAGGAATTAAGTAGAGAGAAAGGAAAGCTTTTCTCGTTTTTCGTGGACTTGCGAGCGGCGTTTGACTCGGTAGATCGACTTAAATTATGGAGTGCTATGGAAAAGGCAGGAGTTAAAAAGAGCTTGATAGAAAGAACAAAAGAAATATATAGTGAGACAAGAAACAAAGTAAAAGTAGGAAACAAAACAAGTGAGGTGTTTTGGACAAGAGAAGGAGTCCGTCAAGGATGCCCGTTAAGTCCAACACTGTTTACGATCTTAATAGCGGATTTGGAGGAGGTGCTGAGAAAAGGGCAAACGGGAGGCGTGGTAGTTGGAAAAGAGAAATTTTGGAGCCTAGCTTATGCGGACGATCTGGCAATTTTGGCAACAAGCGAAAAAGACATGCAGGAAACAATGAAGCGGCTAGAGCGGTACCTGGAGAAAAGGAAATTGGTATTGAATGAGGAAAAGTCAAAGGTAATGCTTTTTAAAAAAGGGGGAGGGAGAAAAAAGAGTACAAACTGGCTATGGAAAGGGGTCAGTATAGAGGAAGTCAAAGAGTTTACTAATCTGGGGTACCACTTTACAAAAAGTGGCAAAATGAAAGAGCATATCAATAATCTGGCAAAAAAAGCAAACACAGCAATGAGAAGTACGTGGAGCCTCGGCGAGAAGTTATTCCACAATAACTTCAGCAGGAGAATT